ATTTGATAATCTTATCGTCACACTTAAGACGCTCAATAATGAATGTTCGCGTTAAGAGAGACAGGACTATCAAGCGATCACTAATGCTGCAAAAAATGGAGAAGCATGCGAAGAAAGTTATTGCTGGCTCCCTCTGCAGTAAACGGTACCCTCTGAAGGCCTGGATGCAGAAGAAACCAGCGAATCAAATGGGAAACATTATCTTCGGCGGATGCGAGGGTGAAAGTTGCAAACAAATCGCACAACAGTGTGAACTGATCCCAGTCATGACCGTTGATGCGGAAACTCTTTAACGTAAGCTCTTACAAGTCTGCATAGTAGAATCTGCCGTGAAATGTCGTTTGAAACAGATTGCTCTGCAGCCTAGTGGTCACAGAAGAAGTTCAATTGCTAGCACAGAGAATAACACTGAGTTCAAGTGCTGGTTGTCTTGTAAGCAACGAGTTTTCACCTCGAACACAGTACGAAGAAGTGCTCAACGTGGAAGCTAAAGCTGATTCCTAGGAAAAATTCCGTAAGGTGCTAAGGTCAAATTTTTCGCCAACAATCAAGGTATCCTGGCGAATTATTCCCTTCCTTCGAGAAGGAATCAAAAGGCGGTCTAAGAGTACTGAGTCTCTCTTACCAAGGATCTGCAGCGATAGATAGAGTACTTGAGAAACTCTTAACCCAGAACAACCGCAGAGAGCTTACCTTGAAGAGCAACGTGAAATGGCCATTAGTCTTTCAACAAATCAAGTCACAAAGCTATAAAATGTTGGAAAAGTGAAAGTCCTGCTTGAATCAACGAAATCCTGTACGCAAAGGTATTACAAATGGACGACGTCGCGTTATAACGGACTCCAACATATCTGTGATATGGTTTCAGGTGGTGATTAGTGCAGTTTCAGGTCAGGCCGAGGCATCTTTGGCCAGGCTTTCAACTTATGCACCAGATTGTTCAGAAACCGCGGGAGTTCGTTCATCCGGTTTACATGTGTTTTGTGGACCTGGAGAAAGCCTGTGGTCGTGCCTGCAAAGCAAATGCATGAGGCTGATGGTCAGTTGCTGTGATCAATCTAATTACTTTGTTGATAGAAGGTGCTGCGTCAGAGTAAATTGCGTTAATTCGAAACCGTTCAGCATTGGGACCGGTCCGCCATTCTGCCCCTCTCCCGTTTGTGTTGTGCATAGATAGAATATTCAGGTGCAATCAAGGTGATGAGTGCATCAATTTCGACACAAGAAGGTTGCTGTCTGTAGACGACCTTGTTTCGTGCTGAGTGCGACATGGCTGTAATGCATGTGAACATGCCTAAAACGAAAGCCTACTGCTTTCTCTTTTTTGTGCTCGTTGATATCTGCATATAAACGTATAGAGGAAGTGGAACAAGTGCAGAAGCCGAAGTTTGAACTTTCTGAAGTACTCATGGTGGAAAATGGGAAAAATAGATCGACTGGCAAACTGCAGCAGCAGTGCCCTGCGTGAACTAGCGGGACCGCTTTGACTAAGGTAGAGTAAGCCTGAAGACCAAATTCTCTGTGTTCAATTTTGTGTCTATATTCTCATGCTGAATTACACGGCACGGCTGAAAACCTTCGATCCCGAGTACAAGCGGCTTAAATGCACTTTGTCAGAATTACTAAGCTGAACATCTTCCGCAGCTCAGATAAGAGAGCCTTGATTTACAGCCACTGCTTCTGTAAACTGAGAAGTCACAGCTGCCATTGTTAGGTTTCTTGCGATTGCCTTCAAGAAGAAAGATAAATTTGTTATTATCTGCTCTACGCAACAGCTGAAGACCCTGGGCGAGGCTAAGAATAACCTGAGACGTGTTGCTGTGGACTCTGTTCGAGACCCAGATTATCTTCTGCCGCAGTTCAAACATTGGCAAAGGATCAGGAACATTGGACACATTGCCTGGACGTCTGCCTCCGCGACGCAAACGTAGGATCTAACCACGGATTCGAGAGTGATCGCCCTTGCTAGGCGTTCCATTTCGAATAGGCTATTTCCGCGGAAAGCAAAATTCAGGCATATATGAATTTTTAGTACGGTGCCATTTCGTTTTAAGTATTTTCTTTCACTCATACGTAACCAACAATTTAATATGAATAAATGAGTAACAGTAAAGTACAACAACGAACACAAATGATCACAAAATATCACCTAAAAAAACTGAACAATGGATAATGTAACATAAAATGACAAGAATAAACAGTGATTGCACTAATCAAAGGATACGATAAGTGAATTGTATACGAAAACAAAACAAGAACAAACTGCAATGAACGGCTGAACAGATTCAGTAAGAGGCGTAAGTATCTCGATATCTACCCAGCTCGTTCTCCTCCACCTCCTTCAACTCGAAGTACTTGTAGCCATGTTTGATGTGAGCGTAGTTAGCAGCGAGGCAGATCATGAAATGAACGAGACTCAACATGACGGCTGCAGCGGCGAAGTAAGCGATCGCGTAGTAATTGCTGGCCGTTTCCGCCAACGTGCAGAACTGCTGCAGGTTGCTTCCGCAGATTTTTAGACTAGCCGGACGACCCGTCATGTTGAGCACAGGCGAAAACACTGACAGATCAAGGCAGGTGGCTGTCGTGTAGTCGGGCATCAACAAGCAGACACGGTAAAAGATGAAATAAATAACGGTGAGAGCGACAACTACGCTAAAGACGAAAATCCAGAACAGGTGTGCTGCGTAGGTGAAGACCAGGAAGATGGCACACGATATGCAGCCGCCCAGCCTTGCCTTCCAACCGGTGTAGATGCGGGTGCGGTTCGAGCCGGTTGATAGAAAACCGATCAGGGCCAACAGCATGGCGACAAAAAACATCACCGCACCAAGCACTATGAATGTTAACTGAACCTTGTTCAGCCAAGCCACATCCGTCTAAATGCAAAGAATAATATGAATAATTACACAAACTTGATAAACGTACACAAGTCCTTATAAATTACCTTAACAATTTATTTTGTTTGCAATTAATGCAGGGGTACTGCAGTCAAGGAATCGCTTCGATTATCATGAAGGGAAGGAAGATTTGGACATTAAACTGAAATATTGCTCAACATATTCAAAATGTTGCTATCTGACAGCGCTATTTAAAGCTTAGAACCCTTACTTACATATGAAACGACCCATCATCATCACATTATCATGTGAAATCACATACGCAATGTTATGAACATGCCATGAAGATACTGGAGGAGAAGCCTCGCATGGTAAAGCCGCAAAGAAGTTAATCCATGGGAAACTGAGTACCAAAAGACTCAATTATTCTGCGAATAAGTAAAGTTTGCCCGATTCATGTAGCAAAGACGGTAAAATGTCTTGAAACACCTTCCTCAATAACCTGAGAAGAATAACGCATTATAAAAGAGATAGATGAAGATTATAATGAAAAACTTGTTGTCCTCCTTGATGCTGCGGCAAAAACAAAATAAGTGCCGACTCGTGCTACTGTGATAAGCGAGATATTGCCGTGACCAGTAAACATGATGCAGGATGGGTTGGCACACTACAGATATCTAATTACCACAAAGCCATGGACAACTTTAAATACTTCAAAAAAAGAATGGCCGATCATTAACCCAGATTTATGCTAAATACATATTAAA